TTTTTTTTTTTTTTTCTCTGTACCATTAGTCTCATCGTTCTCAAATATATCTCCTGGCCAAGCCTCGTCGACTGGACCAGCGTTTGTGCCTCACACGTGCCGCAGCCTGCCGCCAGTCTCACGTTCCGGCGCGTGCGGACACGTTCCTTGTTGGAATTTTTTCCGGCGACCGGCTGTAGGCTTGGAATCTTTCGAGGTTGCTACCAGTGTTCTTTGCTTTTTGTTTTGGGTGATGTGGTGATCAGTTTGGCTTTTTATATATTCGGGTTAGGGTTTCATTTACATTCGTCTACACTGCCCGTCTAGCAACGTCATTTATTGTGGCTCGTGCTGCCAGTGGCACATCTCTTTTCGTGTTCGTCTACCCATATCGGAGGAACATCTTTCGTCATCGCTGAATCATGTCGCAACTTAATGTGATTGCTATAATTATCGAATGTGGGCCTTCTTTGTGGAAACCATTTTGAGGGGCTATGGTTTAGCCATCCATTTGACTGATCATGGACCTGAACAAAAGCGCGACAACAGTAATGTTGCTAATATCAAAACATAGCAGATTAACGACAAGAAAGTGATGGTTGCCATTGTTAATACGTAGTCTATGATTATAGCCTTTCCTATATTAGGACATCAAAGGCAATGTGGTCTTACTTACAACAATGCTATGTTTAGGATAATGGTGCACTTTTGCACACACCCATTCAACAAATTCATGTGATGAAGAGAATGATATGTCTATTGATGAGTACCATTCTATTTTGATCGCTTGATGAGACCACTTATCTCCATGGTATCTCGATGAACATAAGAGAAGTATTCAACACATCGATTTGCTGATACATTCTATATTTATCGTGCCATGGGACTATTGGCAGAATTTGAGTTCATTACATGGTTGCTTCACAACTCTTATACTCTAACCATGGCACATGTATTATCTAATGATTGCTAAAGAGACTCGTCTTCATTATTTGTCTATTGCTTCTCTATCAGCATCTCATAATGTACTGACAAGCCTCTCAATTTCTCAAAGGACATCTTTGCCACAGGTTGGTGAACCTACAGGTGGTTCTTCAGACATTTGTAAGCATCGCAAGAAGACATGTCATGGTGCCAAGAATTGTTTTACTCAACATCAAGAAAAATTGGCTGAGTATCTTGCACGTCGTGATGTCGATCTTGTAGTACGACTTCTGCTACAAAGGGGTTCGTATCTGCAGTCACTGCCTCTCCAGTCAGTGTTGCTCAGTCTTAGGTCCTCGATTTAGGGGCATCTTTTCATGTGACATCTGATCAGTTCCAGTTGGTTGCTTGCAAGACGGTCACTAATGGTAGTTCTATTCAGAAAAATGATGGTGGTTCATGTCATATCACTCATGAGGGTACTCTATGCAATCAAGTGGCCACTTAGGGTACTTCTATTCAGATAATTGACGGGAGTTTTTATCATATCACTCTTGAGGGTTCTCTATATATGCAATTTACATTTTTCAGTGTCTAATGTCTCTTATATTCCTAATTATGTTCTTAAATAATAATGAACTATCTAAGAAACTACAAACAAAAATAATATTTATTTGAGTTTTGTTTTTGATATTTTTAATAAAATTATATAACACGGTATGAAAAAGTATTTTTGGGAAAAAAATTCCCAATATTTATGTATTTTATATTTAACTATTCTCTTGGATAAGAATTGAGACCTCTTTTAATAAAATAAAAACAAAAAAGGTAACATTTCTGATCTCACTACATAAACAGAAAGGAGTCAATACGTAAGGTAATAAAAAGGCAAAATTGCACCTCACATCACGACTTTATCGACTTTTGCAATTCTGTCACGACTTTGGGACCTTGGCAATTCGGAACCTAACCTTTAGTTTTTTTTGACCAAGCATTGACCACCTCGCCGGCCGACAGATGCCAACTTGTCCGGCAACTTAATCCAACATGGCATTGACGTGGAGGACGTATCTTAGGAAAAATGACAAGCCATGTCCAACGACGCGTTTCATCATTTTTAAATTTCAAAAAA